AACAAATGTAAGGGAAAGTGAGGGAGGGGTGTTGATAGGCTATATGGGAACTCTACTCTCTGATCAATTCTGTACTGAGTAATTTGAAATTGCTCTATAAAGTGGTTTAAAAATAGCCATGTTAAAAAGTCCAATTAGAAAAAAAAAGATATTTCACTGAAGAGGATATACAAATGGCAAATGTGCACATGAAGAAAGGTTCAACATTAGCCATTAGGGAGATCAAATTATAAGCACAACAGGACAATACTGGCTAAAATGAAAAGTAGTGGCAATACTAAAGGCTCAAGAAGATTTTGAGAAGTTGGATCACTCATACATTTTGGTGGATATGTAAGTGGTATACCTGCTCTATAAAAGTGGTTTGTAGTTTAAAAACAAAACATGGAGGCTGGGGATGTAGCTCAGAGGTAGAGCACTTGCCTAGCATTCATGAGACCCTGGGTTCAATCCTCAGTACCCAAAATAACAACAACAAAACTAAACAAGAAATCACCATATGACCCTTCAGTTGCATTTATCCCACAAAAAATGAAGACAACCTGTACATGAATTATTTACAGTAGCTTCATTTGTTAAAGCACAAAACTAGAAACTCTCCAAATATATAACTTTCAAGTTACGTAGACTGGTGTGTCCAGATCATAGACTACCACTTGGTAATTAAAATGGAATGAACTATTGATAAAACAGCCCAGATGAATCTGCAGAGACTGAAGGAGCAGTCCCCAGAAGTTATATAATTTATACATTCCCATTTATATAATATTCTTGAAATAATGTTATAGAAGTGGAGAACAAATTAGTGGGTGCCAGGGGCTGAGGGTGGCAGGAGCAGAGGGAAGTGGGTGTGACTATAACCGGGCAACGTGAGTGATTTTCCTGGAGATGGAAATATTCTGGGCCTTGAGTGTATCAATGTTAGCATTTTAGTTGTGATACTATTATATAGTTTTGCAAGATTCTAGGAGGAAACTGTGTAAAGAATATGTAGGATCTAAATTCTGATAATGTGAATTTATAGTTATTCCAGAATTAAAACAAATAGAATAATGTTAAAAAAAAAAAACAACCAGACTATATTGTGAATGTGAGGCCAGTAGGTATTAGATGTTAAACAAAACTTGTCAGGCAAATCAACACAGGCTCTCCTTCTGGGAGTGATGGGGATCCTGGCTCTGCAATCAACTTCAGAGATTAATGGATGGATTTGTTTTTGTACTTCATTCCTTTCCCCAAAAATGACTATATATTTTTTTCCCAAAAATTCCTCCTGAATGTTTAGGCTTAAGGAAGAGTAAAAGGGAGATGGGAGGAGGGGAAGATGAGGAGCAGGAATGTTGAGGTTTGGCTGTTGGGGAAGCCCACCAGTTTGGATGGGTAACTGGTAGCAATGACAGCCAGAAAGGAACTTTGGTTACTTATGAGTGTGAAAAGTGAATTTGACAGAGACTGCCTGGGGAAAAAAATTCCATTTAACCCAAGTACCAGCTCCTGCTCTTTGTTTTGAATACTCTATTGAAACTTATAGAAAATTAGATCAGTGTGCATCAATATATTTTCCCAAAATAAACACAACTGTATATCCAAAACCCAAATCACGAGTCAGCAGTATCAGCCACCTTGTGTTTACCCCCCCATCCATTTGTATACATGGCATCATATGAACTCTCTTGTGGCTCTTGGTGGGTGCAGTGCTGGGGATCAACCAAGGGCCTTACCTATGCTAAGCACATGCTGTGCTCCTGAGCTACATCCCAGCCCTCTCTGGCTTGGTTTGATCAACATTAATTGTGAGGTCTTTCTATAATATTGCATATACTCATTGATCTTCATTCTTGCTGTTTATAGCATTCCATTTGCAGATATAATTTATCCACTCTAATATTGCAGGGAATTTGGATAGCTTCCAGTTTGAGGCTATTTGAAAGGTAGTTCTGTGATTATTCTTGTATATGTCTCTTGAACATATTTTGTATTTCTGTAGGTCATATACCCATAAAACAAGCTGGATCTCAGTATGTACACATGGCCAACTCTTGTAGAAGTTTTCCAAAATGGCTGTGCACTTTACATTCTTATTGGTACTTATCTAAATCTTCCCTTACACATGGTATTTTTAGTCTTTTAAGTTTTCGTCATTATATAGTGGATGTGTGTTGGAATTGTGTTTTGGTTTTAATGATGGGTAACAACAGTGAGAGGGTCCTGTCTTTTGGAAAGAGAACAGGCACATAAGACAGCTCCTTGCTCCTCCTAGTGACTGAGACTTGCCAAAGGACTTTTTATTCCATTTACAGAAAGGCATTTGGTTTAGGCATGTAATGAAGGTGACAAGTCAAAATGTTCCCTTAAACAGTTTAACCCAAGCCACTCTAACCAAAGGTTTGACCAGTAAAACAGCAAAAAGGAACATGACTTGGACTGGCCAGACAGTGCCCAAATTCAGAGTTGCCTTCCCCTGATACCACTGTGTAACTGGAGAGAATAAGGACAGCTTTCAGTTATCTGTTCCATGAACAGGGATACTCCAGCCAGTTATCTGTGAGTATCCACTCAGACCCTCAGACTTGATAGGATTGTTTTAGACTGAAGACATTTGAAATTCTACAGATGCAAAAAGCAGCTTTTTCAGAGTTTTGTTTCTTCAGAGGCAAAAACTTCCAGGAGTGAGCCTGCCACACACATCCCCTCTCCGGGGAGTTTCACTGGCCAGAAAAGAAAATGGAGATCTCAGTCACCTGAATACACAAAATTACAAACTTTGCTGCCTCCTGTTTATCCTCCTAAGAACCATTTTTTTCCTGAAGAAACTTTTGTTTTGTTTATGGTACCAGGGCTTGAACTCAGGGACACTCAACCACTGAGCCACATCCCCAGCCCCTGATTTTTTATGTATTTTTATTTATTTATTTATTTTAGAGACAAGATTTTACTTAGCACCTTGCTTTTTTGCTGAGGCTGGTTTTGAATTCATGATTCTCCTGCCTCAGCCTCTGGAGCCACTGGGATTACAGGTGTGAGCCACCTCCCCAGCCTTCTCCCTCTTCTTCCTGATTTGGTTAGATACATAAACCCCTATCTCTAATTATCAAGAAATCCACTTTTTTTTTTGCACAATTCTGTAGTCATAATGGAAAAGTTAACATCATATCTTCTATTAATCTTTTAGTTAATTCACAAACCTCCAAACACATAACCTTAGTTGGTGGAGGAAAAGATTGTTCCCCCCAGCAATTGTTTGAACTTCAGTAGGACACATCAATTTGAGCCATTACTCCATCAATAACCTGTTTAGTTGAATTGTGCTAGTTAAGACACGGAGTGCTTATGTTAATATTATTTCACTGGAAAGCTATCTAAATACAGACAGTACCCAAATTCAGAATTGGGCACTAAGTCCCCGTTTTAAAGCTGAGTGTTCATGGGTGTTTACTGGTGATTCCTTTTCTGTGAAGCAGGTGCCTCAGACACAACCTCCAGTCTTCTCAACAAGTCAGGGCCTGTGCTACGCATCTCCACATCTCCTGCTCCGTTACCGATACCGGGTGTTTAGCATTTAGCAATGAATGATTCAAACCTAACACACAAGGAACATGAAGACTATACAGGCTAATTTTCACCCCTAGAAATAAGCTGCCCCTCCCAAAGTCACCTTCAGTGACCCACTCTTCCTGCCAGGAATGGGTCCTTCAGACCCACTCTGAAAATAGGATTCTATTTGTAGCTTTGATGTATTTTTTTTTAAAAAAAATCAGACTCAACAGGGGATGGAACATAACATGTCACTCCCTTTTGCGGGGAGGGTGGGCAGAAGGGATACAGAATTACAGTGGCTGTAAGAACCCTGGGTTCCCCATGAACCCTCGGGGCGCTGCTCTCTGCAGGTGGAAGCCTGTGCTGAATTAAGCAACCTCCGAAAAGGCGCGGAGGAGCGACTCTAGCTGGCGTGGGGTCTCCAAGTTGCCCTTCAGGCCAGGTGACCCAGAGGGGTGAGCTTACCTGCAGGGCTGCGGCGAGGAGCCAGCGGCCGCCACGACACGCCCGGGCCGCCTGGGAGGTGGGGAGGGAGCAGAGCGTGGGACGCGCACTGGGTACCCGCTGCAGGAAGGGGTGCAGTGCGTAGGATTGGGCCGGGGAAGGGTGAGAAGGAGCCCGAGACCCACCCGGGCCACCCCACGCGGACGCCCCCTCCGGCTATAACCCGGGCGGCGCGACTGGGGGCGGGGACGGGGCGGGGCGTCTGCGGCGCGGCAGGTGCCCGGCTCCGGGAACGGCCCGCAGAGGCCCGCGGGACAGGGAGGGTGCGGGGCGAGCCCAGGCGCCCAAGGAGTGGTTGTCACAGTCTGGGAATTTACAAATACCTGTGCCCAGACCCCTCCCTAACCCAACCGTGGGATGGGACGTGGCAGCAGCTGGTTCAGAAGGGTTCGTTTCCGCAGCCACCTGTTATCCATTTTCTTAAAGGCTCAGTACCTAGGAGAGAGCGCCCCAGCACGTTCGAAAGCGAGCAGGGATTTTTTTAAAAGATTAATTTTCTGGAAATAAATAAAAATCGGAGAGCCTGGTGCAATTGCCAAAAAAAAAAAAAAAAAAAGTGTCAATACTTACCTTTTCATTAAAATTTCTGATTTCAAAAATTGATTTCATGTGGCAAAGTGCTGGAAATTTAAAACCGGGATAGGACTGTAGCTCACGGGTAGTTTCGAATTTAACAAGCCGTGGGCTCAATCCCCAGCACGAGAGAGGAGAAAGAAAGATAGAGAAACAAAACAAAAACCCCAATTGCACCTCTAAAAACCTGGAATACATGTTCCCAAGAGTCTGTTTCAAATATACTTGTGTATTTTAAAAAATGAGTGTTATTTGCATAACATTTGCTGTACTGAATGTGCTGTAAAGGGATTTTTTTTTTAAGGCTAATCAAGAGAATTGGAATGTTCCCAGATACAAACCAAATACAACAATCTTATTCCTTGGCAAAGGATGACAAGTGTCAGTACTTCATACAACTAGATTTAATAAGTTGTTATTACAGAAAAAAAAGAAGTCCAAACTACAAAGTTTAAGCAGTTGTAAGCAATAGCTGCATTGAGCTCCATGTTTAGTCACAGTACTGTAGTTCCATACAAGCAATATTAGTCCAAGCCCCAAAGGCAGAAGCTGAGTAAGGGTTACTAGCAAAAAACAATCTAAGAGAACAGGTAATAAAAGATACAATACATTTAAAATTAGTTAGTTGAAAAACAAATACAGAGATCTTAGCTGTGAACACTCTAAAAGTTATGTCCATTATTTTGACAGCAAAAATACAAATACCTAATACTTTATACCCCAACAGAACTATATCCAGGAAAGAAAAAGAGAAGTTATCCTGTTTTTAGCACCCAAGTTTTCTACTTGTTGCAATTAACTTCATCATACAAATTTAAACATCCCTGAATCACAGATCCATTCTTGACCCATTTTGGGGTATAGAGTAAAGTCAACAGCATTAATTATAAAATACTCTGTGGTAAGATGGAACACTATTGCAGCTGAGATAGAGAAGTTTGGTTATAATAAAAGAAAAAAGAAAAAAAGAAATATTAGCTGTCATACCATACAAATTAGTGAAAAAGCAACAATCCATACAAATACTCCAGTTGTAACAAAAGATACTTTTTTCACTAATCTGTGACTAATCTTTCATTCAAACCTTGCAAGTAGAGATGTCACAATACTCAAATATTTAGGTAGGAGCTTTACCCAGTTAAATACCATTTTGTTGCTAATATAATAGATAAAATGAAAACTAGCAGATATTTGCTAATTGCATAAATGCAGTACATTCTGCATTAGCCCATGCCTCACTAACAAGCTATAAAACACAAGATATAGGCAGAAATCTAAGCATAATCTTTATACCACTAAACAAGAAGTTTTCCAATTTCTTTTCTTCTGTTCCTAATCGTTTATTTGTAGTTAATGTAAAATTCCAACCAGTAGTACCCAATTTGAGTTAAAATTTTACATCACAACTTGATCTAATCTATATATTATTTACAAAACTGAATACACAGAGCGTACCCAAGAGCCGACTCTGGACACACGTTTCTCCGAGTTATTGATTAACCTCCACTCCGTGGCCACGGAGCTGGAAGAGGCCACCAACGACTAGTAGAAACACACCATCCATCTAGAGCAAGTCATTGGATGTTCCGTTTACGCAACACCAGTTTTGCAGTTGTATTTTTTTGTTTTGCTTTTAGTTTTGCTTTAACTTTAGGTGCCATTGCAACGACGTGCTGTCTTAACAGCACAGCTTCCCGGTGAGGTGGGTGTTGGAAAAGCAGCAGCAGGAGGGCAGACAGATCATGCACGGGGTGACCCGGTGTGTGGCCACAATAAAGGGCAAAGGGGCACCATAACAGGAGCAGGCAGGGGTGTGAAGGAAGATGCGGACTGACACGCACAACGTCCACGTACAGTGGTGACGACTGAGTGTGCTTCCAGCCACCGTGTGTGGAGGGAAGAGACAGCACGGGCCAGGCCTGTGCTACACAGAAGGTGGCATTGCCTTAACAACCCCCCCTGACTCATAGACGTCATCACTGTAGATGTATGTAAAGGATTCCGGACAGAAAGGAACCGTCTCACACACGGACAGCAACTGGTGGCAGAATCTCACTCACACACACATACACACACTCAGGACACAGTGAAGAGTTAGAGGGAGAAAGCAATGAAACATTCTGTTGACCTAGCTAGGTTTTACACCCAGTGGGATTTCAGTAAGGGGTGACTTCATTTCAGGGCCACAGATTTGGCTGCACCTGGTGTTGTATAAATCCACTGTGACATCCCTAGAGACCTGTACTGTGACATCCCTAGTCTTACACTAAATCACTTTAATAAAGGAAAAGGCTTGTCAAAATTTCACATGTTCTGCTCATTCTGTCATTTTATTACCCAATTATCCATTACATTTTCCAATCACTTTACATAACCAACCATTTTCATCGTTGTCACACTATTGTAAACCACATCAGCAAGTTAATACATAAAGCTTTGCATTTCAAAAAACTAGACACTTTAGTAACAATATTACAAAGGTTTTAGCTTCAAAAATAACTGAAAATGAAAAAAATAAACTTTTAAAGAATTAGCATCATAAAATTAATTTATTCCAAGTAAAAATACAAAATAATATTATGACATTGACCAGATATGAAAGTCCCTCCCAGAAACAACTCTATTAATGATTGAGAAAGCACTCCTTAAAGAAAATACGAAATAAAATGAAAAATATGTAAATATGTTTAATTTTTTTCTTAGCAAAAAATCTTTCTAAAAATAACAATGAAAATTTGTCTCAGTACAAAGGCTACATTACTATTGAAAAAATACCAGCATGAAGAAAAGGTACATATTTGACAGTAGAAAAATGATTTCAGTGAATCACAATGTCTAAAGTTTGCAATGAAAATAAATCTGCAATAAAGATTTATGCCTTTTTTCTTTTCTTTTTTTTTCTATTTTTTATACAAACAGTACAAACAGTATTGCACATAACAACAAATAGTCGAGGTTAGGTTATAGCCTTCAAAAAATCGACTAGTTCAAGTGTCACATCAAGGAAAGGCCACAACAGGACCTGTGTTACCCAGGGGCTTCCCAGTCAAGTTGCAGGTCAGAACACCTCTGTGTTTTAAAAAATAATTTTTTTGAAGGACCCTCTCTTTTAATATAACATTAAGAACTTGGGGGCACATTTATTTACAAAACAAAAGGGAACATGTTAATAAACTAAAAAAGTTCTCTTTAAAAAAATACAAACAGAAGAACTCTTTCACAATCCTGGTCAGTCGTGCACAATCAACGCTTGATTATAAATATACAAATTAAGGGAAAGTAGTTTCCACCATCTATTCACAACTTTCAGCACCAAATGGAGTTTATTTTTGTAACCTAGTCTTTATAACAACGTGTTTTTTTCCTTCACTTTAGCTTTATGCTGTACAATCCTCCAGCTTTGTGTTTTTTTAATCTCAGTGTTATTTTAGTACATGAAAGAGGGGTGCTTCTTCAAAAAGTTTTGCTTCTTTCACATAATTAGGTAGATTTCTGTAGGTTAGATATGATCTTTAATATTATAGTTATAAAGCTCTAACTTCTTCATTTTCAAAAAACACAAATAAGCATGAAAAAAATAAAGTTACCCATCTGTTAAATCATTTTCTTGCAGAATTAAATTAATATATATTTTTCTGAATAAACTTACTTAGAAAATATCATTTTCTTTCCTATATTTCAAAATTGAGGTATTGCAAAAGATCATGTCAGTCAGAAAGCATGCCTTTTTCCTTAAAAACAAACAAACAAAAAAATCTTCAGCCAACTTTTGAAAACTGTCTAGAATACAAAAAGTAGTAGTGCATAACAAAATTTCTTGTACAGATGAAAAACCAAACCAAACCACAAACATAGAAAGAAACAAACGAACAAACAAAACCACACCTGGGCTGGAAAAAAGCAATTATTACCAAAAAGCCCAGGTCACCTCAATTGGGGAGGATTCTAATAAGCATTTTTAATCCAGTAAAAAACTATTTTGTTTTTCCTTTTTGAAAACAAACTATAGCTTGAGAGCCAGTAATTGCAACTAAACACTGGAGAAAAAAAACAAAAACAAGCAATACTAATTCAAGACAATACAAGGACATCACAGCACATAAAACAGCGACTTAAGTCTATTCTGCAGTGTCACATCCAGTCAGATTGTCCCCAGAATTCCAAAACAGGAAGAAGATTTAAAAAAAAGATTTACATAGTCTCGCGATCATTGTTTGTGTTTATATATTATTACTATCTGCAGCCCAAGAGTGAATGCTAAAAAAATGTCCACGGTAGTACTAGCAGGTCTTAATTCTATTCAAGCTTTACAGGATAAATCCAGGGAATTAAGTAGTTAATTTCTCACCCAGACAACCAACTCTGCCCAGGCCATCTTATTTTATACAGACATTTCTTTAGCATCACCATCACACAACTCTCTTAAAGATGTGCCTAGTTTGTCAATCTGACAACTTATCTCTAGATACTGTATATATTCTTAGTGTTTGTAAGCTAAGATGAGCTCTTTGGTTTTCTGGACAAGGTCTGAAGCTATGTAAAATGGTGCAAGCACTAGGAGATTGTAACTAAGAGCTCATGTGTTACTTAATAATATACCAGTTATGAACTGTCAAGTTCGTTAATGTCTGACACAGAGGCTTTAAACAGTTAAGTTTGATCACAGTTAGACATAATCACTTTACTATATAAAATAAATTGCACAATATATAACAGAGCACCGCAAAGTACTTCATCTACCATCCACAAATTTGCTTTAAGAATATCCTACACCTAGGTTTTATATTGGTTGTAATATAGGTCATTCTGTTATGGGCTCCTCCTATTCAGAAGCATTCCATTTATTGAGGCATGCCTTCCTCCGATCGATTACCAATTCTTTGAATGAAAAAAATCTTGTTTTAAAAAATGAGTATTTTATAGCTTATATAGATTCTTAATTTGTGCATTGTGGGAAGGTTTTTATACTAGACATTGGATATAAAATTTATTGCATGCAGCAACCTGATTAAGTAAACATGCAGTCAGAAGTAGTGACCTTCCATTGACGCTTTCTGAAGTCTATTCTGATCTTCTTTCGGCAGCTGACTCTCTATCCCTAAATCATAAGAGTGTGTTGTTGGGTTTTTGTTTTTGTTTTAATTGATACCTTAGCCTGAATAGAGTATTATGGTATTAATAATACCATTTTAATAGCAGCAAAAGCTATTGCAGCATAAATTTACATAACACTAAAAGATCTAACCAAAATCCTCAGCAAAACAAAAATCAAACATGAAGGGAAAATAAAGATCCAGCTTATGAGGTATTCTTACAAGTCAAAATACAGAGCAACTAAAGGCTTATTTTCATTAGGGTTATCCTTATTCTAAATGACCCCAACTAATGATTGCTGAATTGTGAAGGTTTTGCTACATCTGCCACCTACTCACGAGTATTACCTTTGGTAAGTCTTGTCCTAGGGGCAACTCTCTAAGTTTCTGAAAATAAGTGCATGCTCCAGTTTCAAAACAATCAAAACAACAACAAACAAAAGAATCACAGACGTCAACCTGATGGCGGCTGATGAGAATGGCAGTCTACGTACAGTCACGAGTGACAAATCAGGTGTAAGAAATTAAGGTACCAAGCAGACAAAGGTGTGAATCAAAGTGCAAATCAGTACCGTTATACACTCTGCAGTTTTGCATTATACTGGACACTGAGTTCAGTAATATGACTGTAAATAATAATAATAGTAATAAAAAGACCCATTTCTTCTTTAAAAATCGAGAACGAATGCACAGATTTCCAGAACGCTGTAAGCCCTGAGGCAGTGCCCTCTCTTTTCCCTCCTTGTTATCTACTCCAGTACTTGTGGCTGGGTCGGCCCTGGGCTCAGCTCCAGCGGAAGGGGACGTGACGAGGGCGGTCGCCTCCCTCCTTCACCAGCGGTTTGTGGAACTCCCGCCCAGCACGGGAATGTATGCTCGCCCAGCAGTATTCGCAGTAATACTGCAGACAGGTGACATTGGCACAGAAGAACGGGGCAAACTTCCCACCACAGCGTGTGCCCTGGCACTCATCACACATCTGATCATCCAGCACATATGGCTTCACTTCCACCTGGACCCAGAGAGGAGAGAGGGGAAAATGGGTTAGCAATGTTTTTCACATTTCTCCCTGTTGAGAGTTTAGAAGCGGCTTAATGATTTGCCACCACTTGGAACTCCACTAATAAGGACAGTAGCCAAGACGGTGGGCTTTGGAATCAGCTCCTTGGTGCACTAGCTGTGTGGGATTAGGCAAATTCTTGACCTCTCTGTGCTTCTGTTGGCTTTATCTGGATAACTGTAAAACAGGTGTAACATTTATACACACGTGATGTTGCAGTGTCTGCATCAGCGGTTGAAGACTGGCAGGCAGGGCATTATCTATTCAGGGTTCCAACTGAATAGACAGCTTGAAGCTTACTGTGTTGTTACTGGATGAGGATTTCTTTTTTGCACCAGGGATTGAACCCAGAGGCACCAAACCACTGAGCCATCTCCCCAGCCCTATTTATTTATTTATTTATTTATTTTGAGATAGGGTCTTACTAAGTTGCTGAGGCTGGCTTTGAACTTGCAATCCTCCTGCCTCAGCCTCCTGAGCCACTGGGATAATAGACCTGCACCCCTTACCCCCAGCTGGCCAAGAGTTTTGAGGGATCTAGTCAACAAAGTGTGTCATAATACCCATCATGACTGTCTCTAAGCCAGAGACACAGTGATGCCTTATTGATCAGCTTCCTGAGTGAGTAATGGATTCCTCATAAATTACTTTTCCCAGAGGCCATTTTCCCCTTCTGGTGCTTAAACATCTTGAATTTTGAATTTTTTGGTGAAAAGCTTACTAAAATATATTATCCATCCTGCCCCAGTCTATGCAGGAGACATTATGGATGTTCTTTGAAGTGTACCAGGTAATATAGTGCCATGGGTGATTTTCACTTTTGCTTTCATTCCCTTAGAATCTTGCTATCTGCTGTCATGTCCAATAACACCCTTCAAACCCCCTGTATAAGTTTGTGATTTCCAATCATTTTCATTAAGCTTACTAAAAGGGGCACACTAAATGCCAGTCAAATGACTCTTAAAAGCCCCAGAATAAAGGATGTGGGTTTTGGAGTGCTGCTGCACTCTCTGAGGCCTTTCCTGGACACTTTCTGAGGGCTAAGTGATGCTAGGTGTTGATCAGCCAAAGATGAGACACACACCATGACTCAAAATGATCCCAACCCAGATGTGCAAGGCTGCTACAGCAACCTGTCAGAAGGCAACAGCCAAGCTGACTCTGCAAATTTACATAAATTTAAGAGAACAACTACATTAAGAATACTCTTTAGGCTGTCCCACACTAAAAGAGGGTAATTATTTTGGCTCATGTGGATTTACTCACATGACTGGTATTTATGGATTGCTTATTCCTTGCCAGGCCCTATATTAAAACTGAAATGAAACACAGAAGATGACACAAGTTCCTCCCTGAAATAATTTATGGCCTAGGACAGTTTCTTCAAGTTTCAGAAGGACCCGACTCCCTTGGAGATCTTACGTGACACTGTTGAAGGGAGGCCATAATTCTTAGTAGAGATGTCCTAAACGTCCATACATAGTTTTTGCCATATTCCAATGCTACTTGGACCATTACCAGATATATTAAATGACTATCCAAATTAATTCCACTTTTTCTAATAAATAAATACAACAAAATAAAAACTGGTTTCTCTTTTCATCACCTAAATCACCTGGAATATCAAGCCATGACACTTTGGAAACATCAGTCTGGTGGGAATCTCGTTACTGAACTATATAAAACTCCAAAGGCTCCAGGCCCATGCAAAGCCAATTGCATGGCCAAACTGACCCTTTCCTTCAGAGGGACTTGCAGGCACACGAATGATAACTACCTTCAGAGATACCTGGATTACTATCCCACATGCCTGAAGGAGGTGGTCATGCCCAAGGATACTGAAGAGCATGTATAATTTACTGATGAGCTGATGAACCACTAAGGATAAGTGGGACTGATGAGAGCTTGGACAAGTGGCTACAGAAGATACACAAGGAGAATAATATGTTTAAAATGATACAGACAAAAAGAAATTCATACCTAAATAAAACTGATTTCACACTTAAGTTTTTTATTTCTAACAAGCTGGAGAAATGTTTGCGGTCATTTTGTTATCAGTCAACAAAGTGACCTCCCAGAGTTTATAAAACAATGACTGAACAACTCTCAGTGGCAGAGAGAGTACATCAAGAGACCATACACTATTCAAGGTGCTGAATTTCCTGTCCTTGGACATGAAATAAGAGGGAGGTACTGGCCAATGTCAGGAGCGGTTTGAATTATATGCTAAAGGCCATATTAAGGACAATCAAAGACTAGCCCTTGATGTAGTCTGCCCTTTGAAGAGAAGAACCAAATAAACCATCCCAGTGCAAGTAAGGCATGCTTATGAGTAGATGGAAGCCAAGTAGAAGCAACCATTTCAAATAATGGATTTGGAAAAGACAAGTTGGAAAAAGAAGGCTGTAATTTGATAGGAAGAAAAGTAAGGCTTGCACCTCTTCATACAGACTCACAGCCCAAATACATGCTGTAAGCCAGGGCGTAAAGGAGAGGTAGTCAAACAGTAGCACACACCAGCATGGCTTTAACTCCAAGAATCACTCACCAGGAGGCCAATGAAAGGACAAACCTGACCTAAGGATCAGATTATAAGAAAAAAATGAACTGGAGCCTGTGGGTGGGAAAGGCAGAAGAGAAGATGTACAGAACAGCCACGCTACAGGGGGGAACAAACAAAGAAGGGGCACCTCTGTTCTTAAGATAAATACAGCACACAGACCTTGAGTAAGAGAATACTGCTTCCAGGTGATGACCAGAAAGAAGAGTGAATGAGAAGTAGGATAGAGGTTACTGAAAGATTCATACCATCTCCTTCTCCTGACTTCAAGGGAGGGGCTCTCATCATCACATTTCGGGTGAACTACTGGACACTAGGGTTTGAGTGATTGTGCCTTCTCTCTCCAGCTGCCCAGAGATCCAGGGTCAATGCCAAGAGCACTATGGCAATGTCAGGTTTTATCACCAGAGGCACATGTTTGGACCAAAGGAAAGGATAATCAGCTGTCCTCTGGCAAAGAAACCTTGACTCTGGTTTTCCATTCTGAGACCCACACTTCAGAAGGACACATTGTCAGAAGGACCTTACTCTCTTGGAAATCCGATGTGACACTGCTGAAAGGAGGCCATAGTGCTTAGTAGAGACATCTATAACTTGGCCGAGACATTCACGGCACTTCTGGGATAAGAAGCAGCAACTGCAGCTTGGGGCTGCCTAACAGATTACTGTTCAGTGTGAGCCCAACACACCATGTGTGAGCTATATAGGTTAAAGGGAGAACTAAACCTTGATAATAAGGAATTTAATTTCTTTGAATTTTTTAACTTTCTAGGCTTCTTGGAGAGATCAGACCACAAATGGTGGCCATAAAGAGACACAAGAAATCAGTTAATGATAACATCAGGAAGCTGCTGATGCAAAATCTTTAACAGCTAAAGGCAACCCAATAGTGCTAAGTCTAGCACACGCTGACCAGAGCCCATATGCCAGGACAGATAATGTCATCCATGTTGGGTAATCAGTACTTTAGTTAAGTGGGTTGCAAATAAATTACCTAGACAAGAGTATTTGTAAATGAAATGTTAGAGTACTTTTTCCAGCTAATAGGGAGAAATTTCAATCCAAATTAACTATTTTTAAAAATAAATTCCTAAGGTCTAAGAAAATCTGAGGGAACATGTCACCTCAAATAAGAATGCTGAATTCCCTAACAGCTACATTTAAACAGTTAATCTGGGACCCTGAGAATCAAGCCAGCAGTCCCTTTAGAATCTGTACAAGTCATAGTTTTAACTCACACTGGATTCTGCCTGGCCTTTAAAAAACTGGATCAACCAAAGCCACAAAGTATGTCGCTTTGTAGTTAAATCAGATGGACATCAGTAATAATTCATTACAGTTTTGTTCATATATACACTATGCAATGGCTAGGGAAAGAGCAGCATTGAATACTTAAAGTTGTTTACTTATTTAAAGAAAAAGCTTTTAAAAAGTTAAGGGCAGGGTATAAGTGTCCCTATTTCTACATTGGACCCCGGTGTGATCCTGGCTCACTAAGCAGGCCATTTCCTATCACCTGGTACAATGGTGCTTCTTGGAAAAACATTTAATTTGGAGTGCTCAAAGCTTTCAAACATGATCTTCTTGGCATGTGTCACAGAGTACATCCATCCAGGCCTAAAAATCACAGCAGACTCACTGACATTCCCATTCAACACATCTTTCCAGTTGCTGAAGGAGGTCTTCCAGCAGCTGACAATACTAAGAACGTCTAACATAAACATGCGTTTTTGGTTTTTCCATCTGTCTATGAGCCAGAATCCTGCTATTTAGAAGATGACAGATCACAGGAAATCAAAGTAGCAACATGAAAATAGCTTTTCCTTAGCAACGAAGTTATGCACAACCTTCCAGACATGGCAAATTCAGTTATTAATTTTAGAAGTGACTTGGGGTAGTTTTTTGTTTGTTTGTTTGTTTTTCAGTTGTAAATGGACAGAGTGCTTTTATTTGTTTATTTATATGTGATGCTGAGGATCGAACACAGTGCCTCACACATGCCAGGCAAGCGCTCTGCCACTGAGCTGCAGCCCCAACCAGGGTAGTTTTTTTTTTAATCCATAGGGGAAATGGTTTGGATTTTGTTTTCAAAAATTTATAGAGGATGGGCCTTACCATTATTCATTCATTGAGATGGTAGGGAATGAAAGGTTTGAAATGATCCTTGTTCCTTTCCCATAGTTCAAAATATGCTTATTGTGTGGCAGGGTTCTGTGTCAACACCTCTTCCATATGTTTATAGAGTGCAGAGATCTGTGAGCACTCTAGCCTGAAGATTTCTCTTTCTGGAAAACTGATGGGTCAGCTGACAGTACCCTGCACAGGGCAGACTGACCCTCCTGCACCTAGTTTCCTCCGTGCTGACTGGGAATGGGGTTGGAGATGTAGTGAT